GGGCCACATAAACCAGAGACTTCATCAACCTGAGACCAGAAGAACTAGATGGTGCCTGGCTACCACCAATAACTGCCCTGACAAGGAACGCAACAGAGAGTCCCAGATGGAGCTGGAGAAAGGTGGGGTGCAGAACTCAAATTCTAGTAAGAAGACCAGACTGGAGGAACCCCAGAAAGCATGGCCTCCGGATTCTCTATCAGCGCAGAACTAAAACAATTTCCGAGGCCAACTCTTCAGACAGGTATTGGACTGGAGTGTAGGACATAAAGGGGTACCCTTGAGGAGTGTGCCTCTTAGCTCAAGTAGATACAAGAGACTAAACAGGCAGCTTCTGTCTGGAGGTGAGATGGGAAGGCAGAGAGGGTTAGGAGCTGGTTGAATGGACATGGAGAATCAGGGATGGAAAGGAGGAGTGTGCTGTCACAGTATGGGGAGAGCAGTTAGTGTCACATAACTATGTATAAATTTTTGTATGGGAGACTAACTTGAAATGTAAACTTCATCTAAACTACAACAATAAAATAAAATAATACTTGAGTTTGGCAAGAAATACAGTCTGCATAGCCCTCGCTGTTCTGGTGAATTGGGACAGAGGACAGATTTTAGGAGTCTGAGGAGCAAATGGGAAGCCACAAAGTAGAGACATGAGTCTAGCCTAGCTCTCCAGTAGATTTCACCAGGAAGGGATGGAGTCTATGGTGGGAGCCTGACCTGTGCTGTAAAGATGAGGAGAGGTTGAAGATGCCCCCAGGGGTCGGTTGGGATGGGGGCTTTGGGAGGAGACCGAGGGCTCTGCACGTCCTAGCGGGACGAGCCTGGCGAGTAACATAACTTGTCTGTGCGTCCATGTCCTCATTCCTAAGATATGTCGATACCCGTGCTCCCCTCACAAGGCTATGATGAGAGTAAATATGAAGTAAAACACTTGAATGGTACCTACCACATAGGTACACCACAATACACATAGGCTGTTATTATTACTATTATTCTTATTGGGCAGGTGTACTGGCACAGTGGTTAAGTGCTTGGCTGCTAACCCACCAGCTGTTCCGTGGGAGAAAGATGTGTTAGTCTGCCTCCATAAGGATTTACAGCCTTGGAAATCCTATGGGGCAGTTTCTGCTCTGTCCTACAGCATCACTGTGAATCGGAATTGACTTGATGGCAATGGGTTTTTTAATTCTTATTGGGTAGTGGTGGTTCAGTGATAGAATTCTCGCCTTCCATGCAGGAGACCTATGTTTGATTCCTGGCCAGTGCACCTCATGTGCAGCCATCACCCACCTGTCATTGGAGGCTTGCGTGTTGCTATGATGCTGATCAGGTTTCAGCGGAGCTTCCAGACTAAAATGGACTAGGAAGAAAGGTCTGGCAATCTACTGCCAAAAACTCAGCCGTTGAAAACCCTATGGTGCATAGTTCTACTCTGACACACATGCGGTCACCATGGGTCGGAATCAGCTGGACGGCAACTGGTTTTAAATGGTTATTATTCCGATCCTCCAGTGCCCAGATGCCTGGGTGCACACCTGTTTCCTGAGGGGCAGGATGGGGGCAGAATTGGGTGTGGTTGAAGGTGGGTGAGAGGATGCTCATATGCCATGATTGCAAGTCTGGTCCACTGAGGTTTCTGTACTGGGGTTTCCTTATCCCTCCTGCCCCACAGCCCCTGGCTATTAACATCTTCACCAACAACCCCTGGCTCCACTGACTTATTAAGGATGGCCCCCTGCCCCCTGGCGCCATCCTACCAAGTCAAGGTGACCCTTCCCGAGGAGGGTTCCAGTGTCCAGCCACAGCCCCTCTAAGGAAAATAGCACATCTCTGGCCGGCAGCCCCGTCATTTACCCAGAGCAGTTCTCGCAGCCTTCTCCCCATTTTTACCCAAGGGCCCCAACAGTATGCCCCAGCCCCAAAGCTGCTGAACCGAGTGCAGCAGCTCCCAAGGTGACTGGGGCAGTAAGGCGGGGCCCTCTGGGGCCCCAGGCACAGTTGGACACAGGGACTGTTTGCCCTGACCTCGCTTCTCCTTGCTGCCCTGTAGAATACTCAGTGACCGTGCCGGAGTCCATGTTCCTGGGCCTCTTCATGATAGGGCTGTTCCTGTGGAGCCTCATTGAGTACCTCATCCACCGCTTTCTGTTCCACATGAAGCCCCCGAGCGACAGCTGTTACCTCATCATGCTGCACTTCATCATGCATGGTCAACACCACAAGGTGAGGGCCATGTAATAGCCCCCAGGGCCGCGGACCTCTCCAGTGGCTGGTTGTGGGGTGCAAGCAATGAGAAACCAAGGGTGCTCGATGGTGCTCAGAGGGGTGGCAAGTTGAGAGCCTTAATCTGAACCAGGCATGTACAGAGGGGCTGTGTGTGTTTAGGGCATTGTTGTTTATACCAGATGCTCAGCAAGTACATTTCATGAATCATGACCTTTAATCTTCACTACAATTCATTCATTCATTCAAAGATGTTCACTGAGTGCCTACTATGTGCCAGGCACTGGTCTAGACACAACTGAGAACAAGATAGACAAAAATCCTTGCCCTCGTGGAGTTTCCTTTTAAGGGAGGCGCTACAGTTCTCTCCATTCCACAGAACAGGAAACTGAGACTTGGGGAAATTGAGGGACTCACCCAAGGCCACACCCAGCACAGCCAGGGTGTTACACCCCGTTCTGTGGACTCCTGAGTCTATGCAGACTCCTGGGCTACTAAATTGTCTGCTACAGCCCTGAGAGTGGCTGAACCCATTCAGACTGACTAGATCAAGTTGCTACCGGGAACCCAAGATAAAATCTCACTTCAGTATCCACAATGTAAGGAATTTTTTTTTTTTTTTGCACATCTAAGCTGGTGTCCTGGAAAATATCACATCTGCCACATTTTCTCTGATTTACACCCAGCAGTGGACAGAATTTTGGAGGAGAAGGACCCCTCTTTGAGGAGAGAGAAGGTGTAAGGGGAAGTCCAGAGCATGGCGCTCACTGGGGGACACCTTGGGACAGGCAGAGAACATGGGGGAGAGGCAGAGATGCCACCGGGGTGGATGCGGCTTCCCTGGATAGACCTGCCTTCCAGTCCTAAGCCTCTGGGCTCGGCTTGTTGCCCTTGAAGAGCCCCAGAGCAATGTCCTCCCCAAAGCCGCTGAAGGTGCCACGTCTCCCCATGATGGGCAGCTGCCCCTCATGTACTGTCTGGGTTGCTCCACCCCATCCCCCACTGGGAGCCTCTCTGGTCAGGTCTGCTGTGACTACAGACAGGCCCGGTGCCCTCTGACATGGAAGCCTCTCTACCCGCAGTCTCCCTTCGATGGCTCCCGCCTGGTCTTCCCCCCGGTGCCAGCATCTCTGGTGATTGCCTTCTTCTACGCGCTCTTACGCCTCATCCTGCCAGAGGCGGTGGGGGGCACTGTGTTCGCCGGGGGCCTCCTGGGCTACGTGCTCTATGACATGACTCACTACTACCTGCACTTTGGCTCGCCGCACAAGGGCTCCTTCCTGTACAGCATGAAGGCCTACCACGTCAAGCATCACTTTGCACATCAGAAGTCAGGTGAGGACTGTACGCCTCCCAGCCTCCCCGGGTGTCTGACCTTTGGGCTCTGACAGGGTCAGGCACTGTTCTGGGTACTGGATGCCCAGACAGCAAGGCAGGCGTGGGGCTCCCATCCTCCATGCTGGGGAGTGCAGGTGCAGAAGCAGACACACAAGGCAAACAGTAAATAACAAAGATAATTGCAGACACTGACAAGTGCCACAAAGAAAATAAAGCAAGGTGATGTTGGAGGAACTATATAGGTAGGGGGAGGAGGCTGGCGCTGTGCAATAAAATATAACACAAGCCATGGGTGTAATTTTAAAATTTTCTAGTAGCCACATTAAAAAGTAAAAACGAACGGATAAAATGAATTGTAATAATATATTTATTTAATCCAGTATTCCAAAATATTATCATTTCAGCATACAATCAAGGTAAAAAAAAATTGTTAATAAGTTATTTTACACTCTTTTTCTTATACTATCTTAATCCATTGTGCGTTTTGTACTTGTGTTGTTGTTATTTGTGCCATCAAGTCACTTCTGACTCATGGCAACCTCACGTGTGCAGAGTAGAACTGCACTCCATAGTTTTCAAGGCTGTGACCTTTTGGAAGCCGATCGCCAGGCCTGTCTTCTGAGGCACCTCTGGGTAGGTTTGAACCACCAACCTTTCAGCTAGTAGCTGAGTGCTTAACCATTTGTGCCCCCTAGAGACTACCTTTTGTACTTACAGAACATCTTAATCTGGATGCTAAATTTTCATTGGAAATACCTGAGTTAGATTTATAAAATTCACAGCCAAAAAAGTAGATTCACATACATAAGTTGTTCCAAATGTCCTTACAATTTTCCACTAGCTGAATCAAATACAAGTTTTTATACTGAAATTTAAATTATCAAAATTAAATTAAACATATAGTTCTTCCATAGCACTGGCCATATTTCCAGTGCTCAGTAGCCACAAGTGGCTAGTGGCTACCATATTGGACAGCACAACTGGAGATAAAACAGTCCAGGAAGGCATCACTGCAGAGATGTCGTTAGAACTGAGACCTGAATGAAGAGGAGGCCAGCATGTGGATATCTGGGGAAAGAGCATCCCAGGAGCAACAGGTGCAAAGGCCTGAGGCGAAAGTAAGCTTGGCAGAAATGAGGAAGGAGGCTGGAGTGTGAGGAGAGGGGCCAAGGGGCAGGCAGGGGCCAGGCCAGGCCAGCCCAGGACCTCAGGCAAATCAGGAATTTGGGTTTCTTCAAAGTGTATCCCTGGGAGACTAAACACCTAGGTGCCCTGCCTTGGCTTCTGCCAGCAGAGAGGGATGTGAAATGGTCCCTGCCCTGGCTTTTCCCCGGCCAATGTGTCCCCCTACTCCCTCAACATAGCCTCATCTCCAATCCACTTGTTTCCTTCTCTAGGATTTGGCATCAGCACTAAGTTGTGGGATTACTTTTTTCACACCCTCATCCCTGAGGAACCTCACCTGAAGACGCAGTGACCACGCCCAGTGCCTCTGTCCTGCCCTCAGCCCAGCCCCGGCCCTGCCCCACCCCCCACCCCCTGCTAAGAAGGTTTGCTTGGCCAGGCAGCACAGGCTTCTTGGAGGGTGCTGGGGCGACCCCGAGGCAGGACTGACCTCCTCACCTACCACAGGAAGGTCACGTGCACTTGGTGGCAGATGGCCCTCAGGGACTGGCTCTTTCTGGGAACATCCCAGCCTCCTTGCCTGCACCCCTACCCAGCGCCTCAGCCTACAGGACTGCTTCAGGCCCCACCAACCACAGCAACCCCAAGGGGAATGAAGGAAACTGACCCATGGGGCCAGGCCTGTGCCCACCTGCCCAACGCAGCAGGGCTGCCAATGTTCACATCAAGGAGTGAGGTCTGTGGAACATGAGGCCCTGCCTTCCCCTCCTTCCTGGGACTTCTTGGGGAGCTTGGCTCCTCCTGAGGGCAGACGGATACTGAGGTGGATGAAGAGCTCTCACAAGAGAAGCATGATGCCTCCCAGGGCACCACCAGAGCCAGGGGCCACTGGTCCACCCCTACGGCCAACCACAGATGCCAGCTGTTCCGGCAGATGCCTTAACAGTACATCCAGCACCCGCCCTGGACTCGCCGGCCTGTGCAGATGGGCCAAGGTGCTGGGTATTGGCCTTGAGGCTGATGGGAGCTCCGGGCACTTTCTTCAGGAATCACCAGCTGTTTCAGCAAGAATCACACAGGTTTTCCCCAGGAGAGGCTGAAGAGGCCTCTCCTCTAAGGGGAGCCCTACCCCGTCCCCAGCCATTCTTGGCCTCCACCTGGCCCATGTGGCCCCTGCCCACGTCACTCAGGACCCTCCCTGCCAGTGCCTCCTCAAGCCGACAAGAAGCCTTCACATGGTGCCTTATCTCCCCGCCTTTGCTCTCCTGCCCCTCACCCCCAGACCCTGCAGATGAGGTCCTGCCCGTACATCCTCATAACCAAAACCCTCTCTGCACACAAGAGGGCCTTGTTTATAAATGATGCCCTTCATCTGACCCCAGGCTGAGTAGCTGGTCAGACCACCCTGTCTAATCCTCAGTGTTGATCCTATATAAAAAAATTGTTTTGCCATATTTTTGTTCCCTTCTTACCCCCCAAACAGTTACTACTTGAAACTTTTTAAAAAACTCAATGAGTGTAAAGACTAAAGAGAAGCAGTTTGACCCTGTGATTTGTAATGTTTACTGCGGAGCTATTTAAAGATTTTGGAATAAATATACAAAACTACATTTGTGAAATAAAGATGTAAATAAATTGTATATTTTGAAAAATAAAACATTGAAAAGAAACTAACAAAGATTAGTTGCTGCTTGTTAGTGGTTGCTCATCTGACAACATTATGACTTAGGGAAGGGCAGTGGGGCGGGGGTGAACATTGAACAGGGAGGAGGATTTTATCACTGATATTGTGTAGAATTGCTAGGACTTGGCGATAAGAATCGCTATGGGTCAGAATCGACTCAATGGCAACGGTTTTTTGTTTTTCTTGGCAATAAGAAAAAGCTGATGACTCTTACTCGGTTTTATTACTGTTTTTACATTCTCTGCAGATGGCAGCCCGCTTACTACTGCCTGCACCTGGGAACATCGCTCCCACCGACAGCCTTGGTATACCACTGGGGAGGGCTCTCTTCTGGATTTTATTGGCTTTCAACTGAGACTCTGGTTGACTTTCCCGACACTAACAGGGGAGGTTCTAGTCAAGATGCCCACAGTGGAACCAGAACTTCAAGGCCAGCCAGGTTTGGGCGAAGCAGTCTCCTGGGGGGGCGGGGGCAGTGGTGTAATCCTCACCTGCTGTGCGGGAGATCAGCATTCCATTCCCAGCCAGTGCGCCTCAAGGGCCGGTACCACCCATCTGTCAGTGGAGGCTTGCATATTGCTATAATGCTGATCAGGTTTCAGGGGAGCTTCCAGCCTAAGGCAGACTAGGAAAGGCTTGGTGATCTACTTCTGGAAGTCAGCCAATGGAAACCCTGTGGATCTCCAGCTGATTGTGGGGATGCGCAGTGTTTTGTTCTGTTGTGCATGGGGTCACCATGAGCTGGGGGCAACTCAACGGCAGCTAACAACAATTTTGCAGCCACCACATCAGAACAACCTGGGCAACTTGTCAATGCAGATTCAAGTCATCACACTTCACAGTCTAATTCAGTAGGTCTGGCAGGTGGACTCTGGAATCGGAGGTCCACTAATGTAGGAGAACACCTGGCAACAAGGAGGGAGCCCCCACCCCACTGCTGTCTCCCTATGCTCTAGCACCCACATGAGTGGTTTATCCCACAGCTCCCACTCTGAAGGTAAGTGGGGCCTCTCTGAGCCACCCATCACCCAAGTTGTGGAATCTAGGCCATCCAAGCAGCAGAAACCACAATTGACACTCACTAGATGGTGCCAGAAGTCTGACCCCAGAGTGTCACACCCAAGGGGAAGGGAAAGACACTGACAAGGAGCAAAGGAAGAGGCAGACTAGTTCTCAATATGCAAGCCCACCAGAGAGAGTCTAAGAAGAGGGAGTTTTAATAGAAACCTTAAAAAAAAAAAAAAAAGTCTCTTTAAAGAGAGAAACTAAACTGGTAAGAAAGGCCAAGACATAAGTGAGTTTGCAGCATGGAAATGAGAAGATTTACAGGGAGAAATTAAAAAGGAAAAACACAAAACCAAGCTAATCTCTTATTGAAAAAGAAATCTATTGCAGTCCATTCGCTGCCCAGTTGACAGATTCCCCCAGAGCTCTCTGCTGTGTCTGCTACTGTTTTGCAGTGGGGTTAAGAATGCTTACAACACCTTTGAAAGAGAGAGGGCCCCACCTGACCAGGGGAGGCAATGGTCATCCAAAGGGGATCACCTGCATTTGCACAGAAGAGAAGGATATAGGGTAGCGGCCCAGGAACTAAACCTCAGGCTGGTTAGCATTCATGCAGTCCTCATATCAGAAATCGTCCAGTGGAGTTGGGAAATTTTATCATAAAGTGCAAGAGACATTATTACTAAGAGTCAAAGATTAAATGCTAAAGCAAGCGAGGCATTACATTATAAAATACCAATACATCTAGCATGTGAAATGGTGAGAAAAGCATGGAACACACGATGCCTGACTGCATTTGTCCTTGTAAGAAAAGACAACCAAAACCGAACCCATTGCCTTTGAGTCAATTCTGACTCATAGTGACCCTATAAGACAGGGTAGAACTGCCCCATAGGGTTTCCAAGACTGTAATCTTTACAGAAGCAGACTGTCACATCTTTCTCCCATGAAGCAGTTGAACCACTGACCTAGTGGCTGTGTGCTTTAACCACTGTGCCACCAGGGCGCCTTGTAAGGAAAGGAGACACAAAAAATATTAAGCATACTGTTTGCTCAGGTGAAAGGCCGTTTAAATTCTGTTCAGTGTAAAAAAAAAAAAAAAATATATATATATATATGCAGAGTGTCTGGCCGACGGTGATCTAGCAATTCGCCTCACGTACTCCTCTGGCTATGGCCAGCTGCCCTGGCTTAGGGTGGGCCCATAGCCATGATGTTTCTTTCTGGCACTGTGCTTGTACTTGCAGACGTGCTCTCTTTGGGCATTTCCCGGCTTGCCTGAAGAACTTCCCTCTTCACTCCATTCCGCTTCTCTGTTGGCTCTGGCCTCCGATCTCTGCCTTTGAACACTTTGTGTGATTTTGTACTGTTACAAGCACAATGTCTGGCTTGTGACAGGGCCCGATAAATATTAGTCTTGTCTCCATCAGATCTCTGGCCAGGCACTTAACATTTGGTCTGCAGCTCCCTACCTGATCCCTGGCCTCTGCTGCCCTCTGGTGGCAACATCAGGTCCTGCCCTGCTCTGGCTGCTTCCATGGTGATTGTTTTGGACCCAGGTGCCTGTGATTTTAGAATTCCAGCACTCTGCCACCTTACCTGTTCTCTTGACTTATCTATTCACAGAGGAATTTTCAACTGTGTATAAGAATTTTCCAATTCTAACTTTCTATAAAACTATAATGGCTCCAGAATTTCACTGGAGCTTCCTTTGTAGGTGCTTTACCCAATAGATACATTTTATCTATAATAAAAATTGCCCCAAGATGGATATAAAAATTTGGAAAATTCCAGGACTCTCACCTTCACTCCATTCCAGACTCTTTATAAGTCTGTATCAGGAAAAAAAAAGGTTAAGGGAAAGAAGAAAACTCTTGTTTGGCAAAAGCATAAAGGTGGGACCCTGTCTTTGTCTAGGCTCCCTAAAACATAAAACGAGAACATGGATGCAAGTATTGTATTTTGGAGATGATCCCAGAAAGAAGGAGTGAGAGGTAGGGGAGTACTAGACAGGGAATGGCAGGCATATAAGGATGAGTATGTAAGGTTCTCATACAGATTCTGCAGGGACATCTTGAGAAGGATACAGAATACCTGGCAGAATCCTACGCTTAAAGGACAAGAGGCTGGAACATTTATCCACCAGCATCCACCCCTATTGGTTGGGCATCAACTTCCACTTCACTTATGGGCTGTCCTTGCACGCAAGCCTGACAGAGTCCTTGGCTTTGGCAAAGGTCCTGGAGCAGAAAGATGGAGGTGTGCATTTAAACTGGGATGCTGTCAGGAAAGGTTCAGTGTGAGCTTGCTGGTACTGTCCACCAGAACTGTGACTGACATCAAAGCTGAGAGAGTTCACACAGAACTGTCCACTACACCTGAGGCTAAAAACAGGTGGAGCAGAGGGGAGATGACAAGGAGCACCAGACGTGTCTGCTACGGACCTACAATACAAGAAAGGTTATAGGGAATCCTTCGGGTAGAAGAAAAATGACATCAGATAGAAATAATGCATGAATGAAAGTATGAAGAGCACCGGAAATGATAATACATGCGTGAACTTATAAGATTTGCTCCTGTTTATTTAAATCTCTATAGAAGATAATTGGCTGTTTGAACAAAATAATAATGTAATGTGGACTTTACAACATATGTACAAGTAC